TGGACTGCACCGGCATCTCTTTTCTAAGTTTGGCCATCTCTTTATCCTTGCACTTTAAGTTCTTAAAGTCATCAATCAATATTTTCATTTATGTGATCGGCCTGCATTTAAAATGAACATTTACCATAAATTAAAGGTATCTTATATTATTAGATATATTATTATAAAACATGCTTTAGTTAAGGAGTTATTAATACTTCAAGTGCAAAATGATAATATAAAACCATGATAAAAATGCACTTTTAAGTACTAATCACTTAATTATTTCTAAAGGGAAGAAGATGGGTCTCTATATGTCACAAGTCAAGGTAATCAAATGGGAGGTGAATGCAATTGAAGATTGCTCTACTGATTTATGGCATAAATGACTTGGAGATTTAAGTGAGAAAAGCCTTGGCATCCTTGCCAAGAAGAGCTACCTTCCATTAAAAGTTATGAACTTAAACAAATGTACTCATTGTTTAGTTAGTAAACAACACAAAATTGTATTTCAAAGATCACTTTCATATAGAAGATCACATGTTCTTGCTTTAGTTCATACTGATATTTGCTCTATGATTGATAAGTCTCTTGAAGGTGCATTATACTTTATTAGTTTCATTGATGATCTCTTCAAAAAAATTTGGGTCACTTGTTTGAAATCTAAAGATAAGGTGCTTAATGTCTTTAAGGATTTTCATGCCAGTGTTGAAAGAGAAATTGGTAAAAAGCTAAAATGTATTCGAGCTGACAATGGTGGTGAATACATGAGTTCTTTTGAGAAGTACTGTGGGGAACATGGTATCAAGTTGGAGAAGACAGTTCCTAAGACTCCACGGCAAAATATGGAGTAGCTGAAAGAATGAACATAACCATTGTTGAAAGAATTAGATGTATGCTCTCTCATACAAAGCTGCCTAAGTCTTTTTAGGGTAAGGCAATGAAGACTGCAGTTGCCATGATCATTCTTTTTCCATCATTTGCTTTTGATTTTAATGTTCCAGATAAAGTTTGGAAAGGAAAGGTGATTAATACTTAAAAGTGCATTTTTATCATGGTTTTATATCATCATTTTGCACTTGAAGTATCAATAACTCCTTAACTAAAATATGTTTTACAATAATGTATCTAATAATATAAGATACCTATAAATTGTGGTAAATGTCTATTTTTAATGCAGGCCTATCACATAAATGAAAGGATTGATTGATGACTTGAAGAACTTAAATTGCAAGGATAAAGAGATGGCCAAACTTAGAAAAGAGATGTCGGTGCAATCCAAACCGGAACACTGTTCGGTAAATGGGTCATATCTGGAGCTATATATCTCAGATTTAGGTCCAATTTATATGGATAGAAAGGTAAGACATAGGCCTACAACTTTCATATGGAGCCCAAGATCTAAAAAGGCCATTATCAAGTCCAAATTGTAGCAACAACAAAGAAGCCCGAATCTGTCTTCCAGCCCGAGCACTGTTCGGTATTTTGGCCATATCTGGAGTTCTAGAAGTCCAAATGAGCTGAAATTTTTACACAAGAAAGCTGAGACAATTGCCTACAACTTTCATGTTTGCAACTGGCTCCAGTTTTGACGTTATCAATGACGTTTTGGGCAGACAAGAGAAGATAAGGATTGTCACCAAGTCAAAAGTTGGTCACCCACTTATCAATTAGTCATCAAATCAATAGTTCCCATTTTTGGCCTATAAAAGGAGGCATTTGCCATGCATTTAGGCATCTTGATTTCCAGATCAAGATCATGCTCTTCCTTTCTCTCTTTGTATTTTTTATGCTTTGTTTTCATTAATATTAAGTTTATGCCTTTCATTTCCTTTCCTTTACTTAGTTAACTTTTATGTTCTTATTTTGTTTATCTATTTTGCTTTCTTTCATTATGTCTAGCTAAGTTAATTATGTCAAGGTGAAAAGGTTACACTAATGGTGTAAGAATAAGTATAATGTAAACTTAATATGGACTTTAATGTTTGATACTAACATGTTTTATATTTGCTATCTTGTTCACTCTTTAATACTTTGCTTGTTAAATGACTAATCTTGATTTATGTTATATAACACTTGGTACAACAAATGCTTACAATTAACCTCCCTGTGGTTCGACCCCGGTCTTGCTGGGTTATTTATTACTTCGACACTCCTGCACTTGGGAGAAGACATCAACCTTTTAGTCGTGTCAAAAGGATACCTCTTATGCATACTTAAAAGTGTTTGGATGCAGAGCATTTGTACATGTTACTCAAGATAAAAGGTCCAAGCTTGATAGCAAGACAAAACAGTGTCTTTTCTTAGGCTCTGAAAATGATGAGTTTGGCTATAGGTTGTGCGATCCAAAGGAGAAGAAAATTATAAGCAGAGATGTTATCTTCTTTAAAGATCAAACAATTGAAGACTTTGAACAGAAAGAAAAAACAAAGTTTATTGTTTTTATTCCTTCTAATTTAAATCCAAAACCTACTTCATAGTTACCTTTGATGCTTGTTAATTATGGGGGAGATTTTCAAAATGATGATAATGGTGGTTTTCTTGTTAAACCATTAGTTGGTGATCCTGAATCAACTAATGATGATATTGATGTTATTCTTGAACATATATGCAAGAAGCTCCAAATGAGCCATAACTACGAAGGTCAACTAGACCTCACCAACCTTCCACCAGATATTTTCCTCATAAGTATGTGTTGGTTACTAATATAGGAGAGCCAAAATCTTTTGATGAAGCTATGTCACATGAAAAGAAAAGTGAGTGGTTGAAAGCAATACAAAAGGAGATGAAATCCTTACATGAAAACCATGCTTTTGAGTTAATGAAGCTTCCTAAAGGTAAGAGAGCACTAAAAAATAAATAGGTGTTTAGGTTGAAAATTGATGAACATTGCTCATAGCCAAGGTACAAAACAAGATTGGTTGTGAAAGGTTTTAGTCAGAAAAAGGGTATTGATTTTGAAGAAATGTTTTTCACTAGTGGTCAAGATGTCTTTAATCCAAGTTGTGCTTGGCTTAGCTATTAGTTTGAATTTTGAAGTTGAACAACTTGATGTGAAAACTGCATTTCTCCATTGTGATTTAAATGGGGATATCTACATGAAGTAGCCTAAAAGGTTTGAAGCAAAAGGTAAAGAGCAATTAGTTTGCAAGTTGAAAAAGAGCTTGTATGAGTTAAAGTAGGCTCCAAGACAGTGGTACAAGAAGTTTAATTCTTTCATGGTGGATTATGGTTATGGTAGACCACTTCTAATTATTATGTATTTATGAAAAAGTTTTCAGATGAAAACTTTATTATTCTCTTGTTGTATGTGGATGATATGCTAATTGTTAGCCATGATGCTAAGAAGATTTAGATTTTGAAGGAAGAGTTGAGCAAGTCTTTTACAATAAAAGACTCAGGACCAGCAAAACAGATTATTGGCATGAAGATCACACATGATAGGAAGAAGGAGAAACTTTGGCTATCTCAAGAGAGATATGTACAAAAGGTACTTAAGAGATTCAACATGAACAACTCCAAACCTGTTTGTTCTTCACTTGCATGCCACTTTAAACTAAGTTATAAGCAATGTCCTTCAAGTGATGAAGAACGAGATGAGATGAAAAAGGTTTCTTATGTATCCATGATTAGTAACTTGATGTATATCATTGTTTACATAAGGCCGGATATAGCTCATGCAGCTGGTGTAGTTAGTTGGTTCCTCTCCAATCCTAGTAAAGAACACTGGTCAGCAGTGAAATGAATACTCAGGTATCTCAAAGGTACTTCTAGTTTTAGCTTATGTTTTGGCAATAATAAACCTATGTTGGATAGATACACAGATGTAAATATGACTAGTGATGTTGATTCTAGAAAGTCCACATCAAGATACTTGATGAAGTTTGCAGGAGGAGCAGCCTTATAACAATCAAGGTTGTAAAAATGTGTTGCATTATCCACTACAGAGACTAAATATATTGCTCTTACTAAAGGGGGTAAAGATTTGTTATGAATGAAGAAGTTCTTGCATGAACTTGGGCTAGTTCAAGAGAACTTTGTGTTGTTCTGTGATAGTCAAAGTGCAATCCATCTTAGTAAGCATCCTACTTTTCACTCTCGATCAAAGCACATTGAGGTTAGATATCAATGGATTTGAGATGCTATAGAGATGAAGTCATTTGTTGTTGAGAAGATCCATATCGATGACAATGTGTTAGACATAATGACCAAACCTCTACTAAGAGAGAAGTTTGAATTTTACAGAAAGGAAGCAGACTTGGTAGAGCCTCCTAAATTGAATATTCTATGTTGATCGCCAATATGGCGAATTCCTCACATGGTGCGTGGGGGGGAGATTTGTTATGTGTGGTCCCGCAATATGTGATGGTGGGACCACCACGTTAATTTTCATGAGCTGCTTCTTTTAATTTAAATGTAGTTGTAATATAGATATAGTACCAATTTTAACAAAAAGAGAGAATTCCTCACATGGTGCGTAAGGGAGATATTTGTTATGTGTGGTCCTATACCATATGATGGTAGGACCACCACATTAATTGTTATGAGCTTCCTCTTTTAATTTAAAGTAGTTGTACTGTAGATGTAGTAATAATTTTAACAAAAAAAGAGGAGAAAAAGAGGAAGTTGAGACAGTTGAATTGATTGTCTTTATTCTTCTATTCCCAGCTCGTTCACTGTTGGATCGAGCTGAGATTGTAATAGCTGCTTTTAGACACATTACTTTTCATTCTGAATGGTTGGATCGATGATTGGTAGTGTGGAATCTAGCTGTTTTCATAGAAAACAGGGATGTCAGTGTTATGAGCTTTTCTCAAATATTTTTCTCTTTAATCTTGTTGTATTCCAAAAATAGGTTGTTCTTGATGATATGTATATTGTAGGTTGAATCTAAGAAAGAACAGTTGCGAACCCATTATTTGTTGATAGTGGAAGGTTTTAGGTGGACTTAATTCTATAGTTTTTCCCGCATCGGGTTTCTCACGCAAAAATCTTAGTGTTGATTTGTGTGATTATTGCTTTATATTTGTTGATTGTTTAATCCTGATTTTGATTACACAAAGAGAAAAAAAATTAAAACTTGTGAATTGTGAATTGATCCAGTCAGATTTGTATCCAGTTATTTGTTCCTAGTTTTTTCAATATATATATATTGAAAAAACTAGGAACAAATATATATATATATAACTTAAACAATAAAAGATTTATTGAAAAAAAAACTAACATATAAACCTAGTAGGTCTTGTGAGATGGAGAGGTTTTTCCACCAATTCAGCAGTCGTCGAATCCTCAATCCAATATGATCCTTTTTTTTTAATTAATGGTTAAAAACCTTGATCTCCTTGAGTTTGATGTAGCACATTACAAAATCACATTCTAAAAAATTAGAGTCAAGAATTTTAAATATCGATTAGATTTGTTTTATTAATCGTCGTAAAAACAAGTATTAGTATCAAAAAAGGGTAAAATTATGCCATCAAACCTCACTAATATAATGTTGAACTCGGGTCTTGATCTACCTGGTTTCAGTTCAAAACTCCATGATTCAGTTCTATTCATGGTACGTGTCGCTACACGATGTCAGGCGACGGCTCCACTCTTTTTTGTTTGTTTTAACAAAAAGAATGATTGTTTTTTTTCTTGATTTGGGGAAATAAAGATTTTATTGGAGTCACCATCTAATAATTTGAGGGAACTAGAAATCCAAAATTAGACACTGGTCCCAGAGATTCAGGTACTGGGTTAGTTATAATTAAGGAAAGGTAGACACCACCCTTAAAATATCCTTTTAGAGAAAGGTTACCTTTACTTGTGTGTTTTTTTTATTTGATTCAAATGCTATTATATTTTGAGCTTATTTGCAAATTTTTTAAGATGGTTAACATCGGTCCTTAAAATATGAGACACGTTAAAAATGACATCAGTCCCTAAAACTAGGAGACTTTGCCTAAAATGTCGACGTTTGTCCCTAAAAATGAGAGTTACATCTGATTTACCAAAAGAAATAATAATGGACATAATCCATATTTGGTATTTAAATTTTTGACATCAATCCTTTTTTAAATAAAAGAGACGTGTCGATAAATAATATTTATTTTATAAAACAAAAATTATTTTGATATCATTGAGAAATAGATATATCCATTTTTGAGAATCGAGTTTTGACCCATGAACAATAACATGATAAAATGGGTGTTGGACCCGTGTCATTATGTATTTTAAATTTATTTTTGTTATTTTTGTTTTTTTACATGCAAAAATTTACAAGTATTTATATATAAAAATATCAAAAATACCATAAAAATTACTTGAGTGCCACTATATAGGTAAAAGACTGAAATACCCTCGGATTTCTCTGAAATTTATGAAAATGCCACTGGCGGCGCATATGGCTCACGCGCGGCTACTGTTGGTGGTGGCGAAATTTTCCGGTGAGATTCCAACCTACAGATGGTTGATTCTGGTAGATCTGAGAATGATGATTCTGATGGTGGTGGTCTCGACAGCCGTTGATGGCTGATGAGGGAGAATCGTCGACTTGAAGCTCGGTTGGTCGATGACTGTCGCAGGCTTTTTCCGGCTAGATTCTCCGGTGAAAACGTGTAAATCGATCGGGGTTTTGCTTCCGAGGAGGTGATGCACCTTTCTGTGGTGGTTTGGCGGCTTAAAACGGCCAGAAATGGAAGATCGGAGGAGAGAGAGAGAATCGTCGACGAGAGGAGAGAGAAACTATGAGCTTTGCTACGGTGTGAACGCGCGTATGGTGCACCGGTGCGTCTGAAGCCTGGGAGCCGTTGGATCGCAGATGAACAGATCGTGCGGCTGTGATTAGCTTGATCTGCAAGTTGATCGGACAATCTGGATGGGCTGGGCTATGATCCGATGTGTCGTGGTGTACCGAGTGTTTGGTACACTTGATGACGTGGCACAACAGGATCAAAGGGTAGATTATTTTAAAGGCTGAGATGGATTTAGATTTTAATCCGGTGTGGTAAAGCCTATTGTATACTAAAAAATCAAAGGCTCAGATTTAAATACTATTAGATCTAACGGTTATGATATTTTTGGTATTTTTCAAATTGTTTAAAAAAAAAATCAATATCTTACTTGCGTGAAAAAAAAGTAGAAAATAAATGAAGTTGCAAATAGTAACATAAATGAATTCTCTTCTTTTCTTTTCTTTTTACTCTCTGATTGGCTTGGTTTTGTTTGCTAGTTATAGCCAATAATAGAGTACAACGAATCACAGATTGTGCAAGTAATCACGAGATTGTGCAAAATTTTCAATGTACGGGTACACCGCCTACCATCGGCAGAAATCCTCCGCCTGCTGTGATAAAATTATATTATTTTTTTGTTTTATTATATATAATAATAATATTTATTTATAGGGGTAAAATTAAAAATTCAAATCAGTATTATAAAAAGCTTTTCAACCACTAAAAATCAATTTTAATTACAAAAAAAATCTTTATCGGGTATCAACTCAGTGGACCGGGTTTTTTGACCAAAAATAACAGTTTCGACCAAAAATAACCTGAAACTCATTTTTCATCCCGGTCGACATGGTGGGACCCGTATTAATCCGGTGGACTCGATTTTGACCGAAAATGATGATTTTGACCCAAAACGACCCAAAACTCATTTTTCATCCCGATCGATATGGTTTAACTCATATTGACGCGGTGGACTCGGTTTAGACCGAAAATGACGGTTTTGACTCAAAATGGCCTGAAACTCATTTTTTATCCCGGTCGACATCGTTTAACCCATATTTACCCGGTGGAGTCAGTTTTAACCGAAAATGACATTTTTGACCTGAAACGGCCCGAAACTCATTTTTCATCGTGGTCGACATGGCGGGACCCATATTGACTCGGTGGGCTCGGTTTTGACCGAAAATGATGTTTTTGACCCGAAACTCATTTTATATCCCGGTCGATATCCGTTAACCCGTATTGACCTGGTGGATTCGATTTTGATCGAAAGATACGATTGACTCGAGAAAATATATTTTAAACTCTTTTTTTTAATTTTTTTATGAATAATAAAATAAAATAAAATAACATTCAAGAAAATCTTAATGAATCCAAAATTAGGTTACAACAATACGTATAAAGGGTCTATTTCGATAGGATTGCAGCACCTCTGAATCCCTAATTCTAAGCCACAGGTTATAAGTTCAGTTGCTGAATATATAAAGTGATTATCAAAATATTTTTCCCTGTATGCCATTGTATGAAAGATGAGGTTAAAAATGTTGTCCCACTTAAGATTTATACCATTGAAAACACAATTAGTCCTTGCTAGGCGCCAGGCTAACTAAAAACCTAACCCTTTGCATCATTCCCTTCACAAAAAAAACAAAAAAAAATAAATTTCAACTCCAATTTCAACAGCACTGGGAATCATCCACTCCAAGCCATCACCCAATATCATGAAACCCATATGTAATTTATTTATTTTTACAGTAAAGTATTTTTGGGTCAATTTGTGCATCAACTGAGATTAAATTCCTTGCCGGCCAACCATAAAAGTATACACTTATTATCGGTCTAGTGTGAATTCTTGAGTTTGAACCCAGAGAGCTTCTTTTCTTTTTTTTTGACATGAAACTAAGGTTGCCCATACATAATTACAAGGCAAAGGCAGATGAACTATCGTTTCATGCTTAGAAGAACAAAGAGAGCATAGCGCGGACTCATCTGTGATTTCCCTCCTACTAGGAAAGTCCCTTGTGTTCCTCTTGTCAAGAACTGCTAGCCATAATAGAATCATACAAGAAAACAGTGGAGGGGAATGGAGAGTTTCTGGATAATGAAATAGAATCCAGAATTGGACTGCTGGATTTAACATTAAACATACTTTGCTTTTTTCCTTACAATATATATTCGTGTTTATAAAGTAAGCTAGAGCAAGACTAAGTTATTCTTTTTATGGAGCTTGTAATAGTTTTATGTATTTCTTAAACATTTAAATATAAAATAATATTGGTAATAAAATAAAAACTGGATGATGAACGCTGAGTTATTTATATATATATATGTGTGTGTGTGTGTGTGTGTAAAAGATTGGATATGGATTAGATGATGCGCAACCAACCACCATAAATATTGAATGACAATTGACATTTTCCATGTATAAAATTGCTTTATAAATTAAGCTCTTAAGCTTTAAACTGGTTGTGTATGTTAACTATGTAGTTCGACTCAATTTCTTAGCTGTAGATTTTATTTATTTCTTTGAAATATTGGTATAAATTAAAATTACAATACATTGATAAAAACCAAATACCTAAACAAGCTTAAAAACTTGGATTATGTGATGATGCCCACCTTTTTTCCATTTTTTTTCTTTTTTATTTTTTTAATTGGTCCTTATATTTTTATCTCTTTTTTATTTGGTGTTTTTTTTCTTCATGTTTTTCTTTTTTTACAAATTGGACTTTAGACTTTTTTTCATTTTTGATTTGATATTTTTTTTCCATTATATGAGATAAAATTTTCCACTTAATTAGAGATTAACTAATATACTAAAAAGTTGTAAACTGCTATTCTAAAAAAGTTGAGGTTATCCCCTTGTACTTCACTGTTCATAAGAGGTGACCCCTCTTTTTCTTTTTCTCTTTTTCTTTTTACAAATTGATGCTTAGACATTTTTACCCTTTTGATTTGATTTTTCTTGTGTGCGATTGTATGAGATAAATTTTACAATTTAATTAGAAATTTGCTATGTTAAAAAAGTTGTTGACTACTATTAAATATAAAAAATAAAAGAGAGAGATGGTTTTCCAACCTCATTAGATGTACCTCTTTTTCTTTTTTAATTATATCTTTCAATTTTGTTTTTTTAAAAAGAAATTTGGGTTTTTTCTTTTAATTTCATCCTTTTATATTTTATTGATTTTAATTGATCATCATAATTTATTTTGGTTTATTTTCTATGAAATTATTGTAATTTTAAACAAACATCTTGATATGTGATTGATGCTTAATTTTGTAAAAAAAAAAAATTATAACATTATTAAATAA